CCCCAAAACCCCAAAACCCCAAAACCCCGCTAGAATAAGAGTTGATAAAATTAAAAATTTATATGATTTCTTTGAACTAATATTTAAAATTAACTAATATCTACCATTCCTTAATCTCAATCAACAGACATTCCATCAAATGAGCACTAATTACCCTGTGTGGGAACTAAATCATAACAATACTTTCCCTTTTAGTTAACCCAAATAAGCAAATATAGTTTATAGCTGATATTCTAATAAATTTGAATCTTCATTTTCTCTTGTTTCTAACCCTTTCCTACTATCCATTTCAAGAATTCTTCAGCTTATTTCCCTTTGATATTGAGAATTCTAGCTAAATTAACAAGTTTCTGTAAAATCCCTTTAACATCGGCTAGCCTCTTTGTTATAACATACTCTAACTGATTTTTTATATGAATAATACTCCTCATATCTTGTTATCTCTAGAGATACTCCTAGCTAGATTAAATTTATTCATTTCTCAATTTTAAAAGTTGTTAATACTTTATTAAGTAATTTTCTTTTTATTGACTATCAACTTAAATTTTATTTGGGAAACCAGTAGCAGGCCATTAGGCGACTTTTAGAGGCTTATTAGGAGAGTAGATTTTTTGTGGTAATTCATTTAAGAATTACTGAAAGTTTTGCTTAGCTTTCTGATTCTCTGAAAGTTCAACTTGAATTTATTAATGTTGATTAATTTAAATTTGCTCTGGATTTTCAACTTCTAATTCCATTTAGTAATCAGCCAATTCATTATCAATTATCAGATCTAGTGTTTGGCTATTATCACTAGCTGAGTTTTCAAACTGCCTTATAGAAACTTAGGCAATATTATCACTTAGATTTAGATTTTAAATTTATTTATTAAGATCCTTGCTATTGCTGCCATATATAGGTTACTCTAGATTATTCTAATTTACCAGTGGCAAGGCAATGCTGTTATTTGTGTTAACAATCTAATTTAAGTTATTAGAAGTAATATTTATTTCACCTTCCTCAAGTTGGGTAAAAGTTTATTCTTCCCTTTTAAGCTTCTTTTTTTAATTGGTCTCAGGTATATTGATTTCAATTTAATTATTAAGATAGTTTTCAATTATTGGTAAGTCAAGTAATCTTTTTTTAGTGGATTTTGAAGGTGTTTATTTCTCAATGTTTTAAGTCAATAAACTTTTGCTTGTTCTGTTTTAGGTTCTCTTTGAAGGGCTACTATTTCTCTGAATATTCAAATTCTTGGATATTCCAAATTCATTTTAATCATTAAATTTTTTCCTATTATCAAACTATTTCCTGGTTTTGTCAATTTTATCTCTTGAATTTCTCTGATGAAAATGATCATTAGCTTTACTGTCTGTAAAAAATTAAAAAAATTTATTGATTACCTCTTTTTTTCCTAGAATTACTAGGTTCTAAAACTAACTACTAAGATTAGCTAGATGATATTCTATAATTTTTTTATATATCATGATAATTAATTAGTGGCTTTTTGCAACTCTATATCTATCTCACATTCTGTTCAAGTATCTCTAGATCATCTGCATCTGGTTAATTTCTCTTTTAATTTTAGCGATGTACTGTTTCTGAATTGGAATTTACAGGCTTTGAACTAGCCTTAGAGGTAGCATCCTTTCTTTGAAAGTTTATGTTCACGCCTATTTATTAGATTCCTAATTTATCAAGAAGTTTAATGCTCTCATTATTCCCGATAATTTAAACATCTGGCTCTATATAAGGCTTTGTGATCTTTTCATTTCCATCTTAAATTACTTAAAATTAAAAAGATTTACTTTTTTGCGAAACTTATTTTGGCTCGAGAACTTATTTCCCAATAAAAGTTTTCTTTCCTTGTTTCTTGTTTTACTCAATTTCTCTTTCAATCTCTCGTTACTCTCTTTCAAGTTAGTAGTTTGGCTTAAGATGCTTGGGATCAAGTTTATCCAGAGGATTATACAAGAATTGCTTATTTTTCTTCTACTTTGAATGCATATTTTCATTCAATTTTTCATAGTACATTTTTTCACATGTATCTGATTAGAGAACTACAACAGTTTATCTACAAGGAAAATTGAACATTCTGGTAGGTATAAATAATATAAATACTTATCGTCATTGGTGATTGGCCTCTAATGCTTCTTATTCTTATTTTAAGATATGCTTTGAATTAAGTATCTTTGTAAGATTTTAAACTTAAATTAATTACGGATTATTTTTGAACTTTCTCAGTGGATCTTAGCTACCCATAGAATATTGATCTGAGTTCTAACTTAAGAAAATGGTAGTTGAGTTTTGTATCCTTTGGACTCCTAAACTCTCTAAGCATTCTGTAATAGCATCATTAACTGGTACCTGAAAGTATAAAAATGGTATTAATACATTTTGCTGATTTATTGGTTATGGTTTCTATTAGTTTTACTAAGTTTTATTCAAACTTTTATTTTATTCCCGATGCCTCTCATCAAAGCTACTACTGTTATATTTTAAGAATTTATGATTTGAAATTTACTCGAAGAGTTAATTTGAGACATTAGACAAAGGGCATTCAAACAAGTTATCATCATCACTAAACAAGGTAAGGTTCTGATTCATCTGATATCTGAATTACTAAATAATTTATACTTTGGTATTTAAATCTTGATTAAATTGCTAATGTCAATAATTCAGAAAATAGACTGAAATTTATGATGCAGGGGTTTTGGGGTTTTGGGGTTTTGGGG